CCCCCCCCCCCCTTTTCTTCTGGAGGACAGATGGCTCTTCAAACGGGACGCCACCTCGGAATAGATTGGGTGGGGTATTCCGCAACTCCACAGGTAATTGGATATTAGGGTATACTGGAAGTAGGCCAGCAGGAGACTCCAGTTACATGGAACTCTGTGCTCTACTTGAGGGATTGCAAATAGTTTGGCGATACAATTTAACACCACTGAAGTAAATGTGGACTCCATAGAGGTAATATCTCTGTTACAAAATCATAACATGCACACTCATCTATATCGTTTGAATGCAGGTTCGTACTCCATCTGGGTAGACCACGTATAATACATACACACAGGGAGCAGAACCACGTAGCACATAAGTTAGCACAACATGGAGCAACTTTGGCAATGAGCGAGACTTCAACTATTCTCCTTCAACCGCAAACCTTTTTGTTAGATGAATTCCGTGCAGATTAAACCGGCATTGTCAACTTTAGAAAAACAAATGTACCTGCACCAATAGCTCCACTATCTTTTTGTTTAGAAGAACAATCATATGACTGTAATAGCATGGGCTCTCTTACGAAACAACCCATCGACTTACTTATTTCTCCTTTTTGTAACCCACGACCATTCAGGCCTCATGCTCCTTGTAGTATTACCCAACTTTAATATAATATAATTGTATAGGCCAAAATTCGTCCCTAGGAAATTTAGCGTAATGTGGCATTAAGGAAAGAATCGATCGAGCTCGCCCAAGATGCAGCAAAGTCATTGGCCGAGGTGTCGACAAGAGTCATAGTTGAGATTGTCAACAAGGATCGAGGTCGAGATTGTCAACAAGGGTCGAGGTCGAGATTGACTATTGACGATAAGACTTGTAACAGCTAATTTGTCATGATAGGATATTAAGAGAGAATATTCTATTTGATATTCTCTTCATTTGTACTATTAGGGTTTCCTAGGAAAAAACCCCATATATAGAGAAAAAAGAGACAATGATAGGGCCATGTAATATATTGATTTTGATAAGAACACTTTTGAGAAGAAAACTTTCTCTCTTGCAAAAATACAAAAACTACCTTTTGATAAAGATTCTTGTCCATATTATTCTCACCTTTCTACCAGATCCGAGGATTGTTCATATGAATCTTGGACCTATCTGTCATTTATTATTGTCAAGAGAAATATTCGTTCAACCCACTCATTATTGGGTTAATCTTTCTCCTTATTTACTTAAATACCATTTATTGTTAGTTATATCTCCATTAATGTTCATGCTTTAAGAATATTTTCTATTTATTTTCATCAATCATTTACGAGATCTGTCCCATCTACTTTACGTTTTCAAGTTTAGTGTCTAGAATTATTATCCTTAACTAGATTTAACCCCTTGTTACATAAATTTAATAGTTTAACCGAAAGTTATACGTTTTGGTCAAACAATTTGGCGCCGTCTGTGGGAAATTTCTAGCTAAGTTTTTTAGTTTCTTCTAGATCTACAACCGACACTGGTTACTAACGCAAAAAAAAAAAACCTTCTTTTCTTTGTATGCATAGATCTAACACGGCAGGTAACAGAGAAGAAAGAACGAGAATAATGAGTGACCTTCCAATCAACCTCATGGACATCATCCACGAAAGCTCTGAATAAGTGGACGAGGACACAACGTCCAATGCCTATCCTAGGCGAGGTGGATCACCTCCTCCCCATTGCAGCATCACAAAATCCCATGGCAAGAAGCCTCCACATCCGTGGAAGAGGAGACACCACCAGCGATAAAGAAGCTTCTTGAGGCTTAGCTAACTGATACACTAACCAGCGTCCTCCATAAGCCCGTTCAGGACGCGGCCACAGTAAAGGCGAGAACCTGTGCCGCAACACCAATGGACGAAGAACACGGTCAACCTCCTCCACCCACGACGACACGTATTACTCACAGTGTTGTTAACAATGCAGGCGACGACGCTCTCACGACCATTATGAAAAAGATGGAGGAAATGGAAAACGAGAACAATACACTTCGAGATCAAATGAGAGAGTACCAAGAAAGGGTCAATAAAATACCGGGCGCTCCTAAGTTATTATCGAAGAGAGACGCCGGTCAGTTCGTCGAACAACTGTACAGTGATAGCGCCGCCCCACATGCCATACCAAAGACCTTTAAAATGTAGCCTTATCTGAAAATATACGATGGCATGACCGACCCCGAGGATCATATGACCTATTACGTAACCGCCGTGAAAGGCAATGATCTCTCCAAAGAACAAGTATCCTCCATTCTGTTAAAGAAATTTGCAAAACCCTTACGAGAGGTGCATTAACCCGGTACTCGCAACTGCCAGCACGTTCCATCAAAACCTTTGAGGAAATGGCCGATAAGTTTGTGACAGCCCATGCCGGGGCCAAGAAGGCTGAGGCAAGAGTGAATGACATCTTTGCTATCAAACACTCCCCGGGAGAAGGACTGAGGGACTTCCTCGCCCGTTTCAACCGAGTAAGAATGACTTTGCCCAATGTATCATAAGGAATGGATGTAGCTACTTTTCAAAACGGCCTGAACAGAAATGGTTCAAGGGCAACAAGAAAATATTAAGTCGGCTTATGAAATATCCACCAACGACTTGGGACGAAATACATAATGCGTACTGTGCCGAAGTCCGAGCAGACGAAGACGACCTCAATGGACCGACTCATCGATTGACCTTAGTATACGTGGAATCCAGAAAAGATCGGAGAAGTGATATCAGAAGAGATCCAGCGGCCTCACGGCCAAACCGGAAATGACATCTCCCATATGTCAGAACTACCGATGTACCCTCACCTCACCATGAAGAAGGCCCACCCCGACCAAGAATAAGGACTCACCGGAATGAGAGAGGTATGTCCCTTTTACTATCCGCTCACAATTTTTGTGTGTCACCTACAGAGATCGTCTACGCCTTGGAGAGGCTCGGACCAAAGGTAAAGTGGACACAAAAGATGAGGTTGGACCCGAATACCAGAAAATCAGATGCCCTTTGCGACAGGGACACCTCAAAGAATTGATGAGCGATCGGGGAAGGACCAACTTTGCCAGGGGACGCGAACAACATCAAGGGCCACCGAAGCCGCCCTCGACAGCCCGCACCATCCACATGATCATCGTCGGTGGGGACGACGCTACCATTAATAGTGTGAAGTTTACCACAACCCACAATCTCAAACGGTCGATCATCCATGAACGGTATGATGAACTAAAAGAAAGTATCATCTTCGATAAGTCGGATACCGACGGTTTGACATTCCCTCACTATGACGCTCTCGTTATTACTTTACGAATTTTAGATACCGACGTGAGACGAATTATGGTAGATGATGGGAGTGGCGCATGTATTATTCATCCTCGAGTACTCACACAAATGAAACTCGAGGACAAGATAGTACTACGTTGTATCACACTAACAAGCTTTAACAATGCAGTTGAACGAACATCCGGCGAGATCACACTCCCCGTCCTGGCGGGTGGCGTCATTCTGGAGACCACATTACACATCATGGACCAGGACACAACATACAACGCCATAATAGGGCGACCATGGATACACACCATGAGAGCTATACCCTCCAGCTTATACCAAGTCATCAAATTTCCAACTCCATTGGGCATATTCAGCATACGCGGGGAGCAACACACATCCCAAGAGTGCTACCGTATCGCCCTAGACTGCACCGCCACCTAACAAGTGAGATATAGAGAGAAAGAGACATAGCAATCAACAGGGATGAGGACGGTAAGCGATGACAGCAAAGACGTCATCAAAGACCCCGACTCGGTCAAGACTACAAGATCGACCGTAGAGGACCTCGATCCCTTCCAATTAGACGGCAACGACCATAGCAAGAAAGCTTACATCGGCTGCAAACTTCAAGAACCCAGTAAGTTTTGTGAATTTTTAACTACTAATGCGGACTTGTTTGCTTTTAGACATGCAGATATGCCAGGTATCCCAAAGGAGATCGCCACACACAAATTAAATGTTGATCCACTCTATCCCCCGGTGAGGCAGGTTTGACGAAAGTTCAACTCCGCAATCAATGACGTAGTGCGCGAAGAAGTAGAAAAATTATTGGAAAACGGTTCCGTCAGGGAGTCGAAGTACCCCCAATGGGTCGCCAACGTGGTCATGGTGAAAAAGAAGAATGAAAAGTGGCTGATGTGTGTAGATTTCATCGACCTAAACAAAGCTTGCCCCAAGGATTCGTTCCCATTGCCTTATATCGACCAGCTCATGGACGCGACAGCCGGGCATGACTTGCTAAGTTTCTTAGTTGCCTACTCGGGCTACAACCAGATCCTTATGGAGGAAGAAGACCAGGAAAAGACCACCTTCATTACCTACCAGGGGACGTACTGCTACAGGGTCATGCCTTTCGGATTGAAAAATGCGGGGGCAACTTACCAAAGGCTGGTGACGAAGATATTCAAAGAACAACTCGAAAAAATGTCATCGGCGACATGCTGGTCAAATCCAAAAAGAAAAGAAGATCACATCGACCACTTAAGAGAAGCCTTCGGCATACTCAGGCAATACAACATGAAACTGAACCCCGAAAAATATGTATTCAGCGTCGCCTCAGGGAAATTCTTGTGTTTTCTAGTGTCGCAGCGGGGTATCAAAGTCAACCCCGACCAAATCGAGGCCATCGACGGGATACCCGAGCGCTTGACCACCAAAAAGCAGGTCTAGAAGCTGACTGGTCGTATCGCCGACCTTTCGAGGTTCATCTCACGATCCTCCGATAAGTGCCACAAGTTCTTCGGCGTACTAAAAAAGGAGAACGGCCTCCAATGGACCCCTGAGTGCGTCCAAGCACTGAAAGAGTTAAAGGTGTAATTGTCTTCGTCACTGTTGCTCTCAAAACCGGAACCAGGACAGACCCTCCTCATCTACCTCGTCGTGTCTGAAGTAGCTGTGAGCGCAGTCTTAGTCCAAGAAAATAAAGGTATGCAATCTCCCATCTATTACATTAGCAAGACACTAGTCGACGCCGAGACCAGGTACCCCCATCTTGAAAAAATGGCTCTCGCCTTAGTCCTAGCTTCACGAAAACTTAGACCATATTTCCAATGCTATCCCATCTCGGCCTTCATGAATTTCCCCTTAAGAAGCATTTTACACAAACCCGAACTATCGGGCAGATTGGCCAAATAGGCCATTGAACTAAGCGAGCACGATATTACCTATCGACCACAAACGGTGATAAAGTCACAGGTCGTCGCCGACTTCAGTGCACAAATAATGAACGAAGTCGAAAAGGAAGCCGTCCACCCTTCTTCCCAAACACAAGCCCGTTAGGTCCTGTACACCGACAACACATCTAATGTACCAGGGTCCGGGATGGGACACGTACTCGAAGTTCCAACAGGCAAAGTGATTCTCCAGTCCATAAGGTGCCTGGACATGACTAACAACGAGGCCAAGCATGAGGCTGTAATTGCAGGGTTAAGACTAGCACTCAAATATAGGGCGAAATGACTAAGGTTGCGCTGCGATTCTCAGCTCGTGGTCAACCAAGTCATAGGGACTTTCCAAATCAAGGAGCAGAGGTTACAAAAATACCAGACCGAAATGTGCAAACTACTACCCGAGTTCGACGAATTTCAACTCGACTAGATTCCTTGAGCACAAAATATCGAGGCGTACGGCCTCGCCAAATTAGCAGCAGCCACCAAGAACATTATAACCGGAGACCAAAATGTAGTCCACCTCCTCAACTCATCGATAGACTAAATCAAGGTAAGAACCATAAACCTGACTTGCGACTGGCGCAACCGTATTATTACATATTTGCAGGACGGCGTACTCCCCAACGATAAAAAAGAGGCCAAGAAGCTGCGAATGCAAGCGGCCAGATACAACATTGTTCACAACGACTTGTACAAAAGGACATGTGGCGGCCCTCTAGCAAAATTCTTAAGCCCAAATCAGACACGGCGCATCCTTAAAGAAGTACACGAAGGCCACTGTGGAGCTCAGTCCGGCAATCGAGCTTTGGTCAGGTGCCTCATACGAGTGGGGTATTACTGGCCCACGATGAAAAAGGAGTCCACGGATTTCGTGAAACAATGTGAGCAATGCCAGAAGTACGCCCCAATGATCCACTGAGCAGGCGAATACATACACTCAGTAACTTCTCCTTGGCCGTTCATCAAATATGGAATGGACATCGTGGGCCCCCTCCCGACAGGAAGAGGTAACGTACGATTTCTCTTGGTTTTAACTGACCACTTCTCTAAATGGGTGGAAGAAGGAGCATTCGCCCAAATATGCGAACAGGAAGTGATCACCTTCATATGGAAAATATCATATGTCGTTTCGGCCTCCCCAAAGAAATCAGCTGCGACAACAGACCTCAATTTGTAGAAAAAAAGGTCGCCGATTGTTTTGAAAAATGGAACATCAAAAGAATACTGTAAACGCCTTACCACCCCGCGGGCAACGGGAAAGCGGAGTCCTCCAACAAGTCAATACTGAACATCATGAAGAAGAAGCTCGAAGTGCCAAGGGGTTGTGGCCGGAAATATTACCATAAGTACTCTGGGCCTACCGAACAACGCCAAAAACGAGCACAGGGGAAACGCCATACTCGCTAGTCTATGGGACTGATGCAGTAATACCAGTCGAGGTCCGGGAGCCCAACCTAAGATACTTTTGTGAAAGCGGACCCCAGAATGATGACCGCAGAAGGCAGGAACTCGATGAAGAGATATGGCCTACGTGAGAATGGTTGCCCAAAAGCAACAAGTAGAACGCTACTATAACAAAAGAGCAAAGATCAGGCCACTTAAAGTCAGGAATTACATGCTTAAAGCTAAAACACAAGCAAGCAAAGATCCACGGGAAGGTAAACTAGGAACAAACTGGGACGGCCCCTACAAAATCATGACCGCAGCAAGCAAAGGGTCATTCACACTAGAAACAATGAAAGGAAAGCGATTACCAAACAACTGGAACATTACACACCTCAAGTACTTAACTTTTAAAGGATGAGGTCCCCAAAGTCGCACTCTTTTGCCCTCACTCGAGTTTTGTCCCAATTGGGTTTTCTCGAGGAGGTTTTTAATGAGGCGATGATGGGGATACTTCAGGATTGAAGTGCGCACAGACGAAGATACTGGATGACTAGTTCATTACTTGATCTCTCACTATTTTTCCAGTTCGACCAATGAAGGGACTAGATAGAACCGGAACTGGGGCTGAACTACTAGCCAGTGCCCGATAAATATGTAAATCTCTCCAAGAATATGAACGAGGCACAAGTATATGAAGTTTATTTCTGCTCTCCCAAAGCAAAGGTTACATTCGACCTCATTCGAATTAACACATACTTGGCCCACGGCTTGAACTAATTAAAGGTTACATTCGACATCGTTCTAATTAACACCTACTCAGCCCACGACCTTAACTAATTAAAGGTTACATTCTACCCCGTTTCGACCTTATTCGAACCAACTACTGGCCCTCGGCCATAATCAAACCTAGACTTCATTTCAACCTCGTTCTACCTACTCGAACAAATCTATTACGATGAAGGCAACCAAGCAACAAAATCAAAAAAGCGTACAAGCCCTAACAAAGAAAAAGTATCAGGTACGAATAACATAACTGAAATTCCATACTTCAAATATTTTTTTACAATGGCTCGAATACGCGCCTACAAAGAATACACACAAGCCTGCGGCTAAGCAAAAAATAAGGAAAAATAACTAATCACCGCCTGACCCAGCAGCACCTCCAGCTTGATCACCCAAACCATCTCCACCTACCTCTTCTCCATCGCCATCGCCAGCGGGATACTCACCCTCGTACTAGGCGTCCTGTTCAATCCGATCCACGCCCATATCCTCCTCATCATCACTGGCTTCTGGTGTGGCAGGATCATAGCCATAAGCAAACCGAGCTTTACGCGCCTTAGTACGAGCATTCTCAAAGTCGGCTTCTGAGACAGCTCCCGCCCCCATCAGATCCCTGAATATATCCAGCTGGACCTCGGCGTGAATCCATTCCTCGTACAAGTCTCGCAAAATATCAAGAAAAAGCAGAGGCACGGGAAGAGGATGGCTGAGCCAATAACTGCGTCTTCTCGACCTCGAGAGCAGGGACTCGATCGCTAAGGCATGAAGCCTCTTTTTCCAGCTCCCCTATCCGCTCATCAAGTCGCTCCTCCTTGAGTCTGGCCATCTCCAGAGCACTTTACCTCTTAGAACGAAGAATGTGGATCACGATCTCTAAAGCCTCCGCTTTCCTCGCAACTGACAACTGGGCCAACTCCGCCTTCTCCAAACCCACTGCCTTCTCAGCGGCCTCGCCTCTCAGATCGTCCGCTCTTAGTCGACACTCTTCGAGCTCGGTGCACAACGAAACCACCTGGGCCTGAAGATCGGCACACTGGGCCTCGACTTCCTTGCTCACCTCAAGTTCTTATTCTTTTTCCCTCAACGCCCCTTCGAGAACACTACATTTTCTGATGACCCTCATCAACTCATTATCTTTCTCCTTCAGTTCACCTCGGAGAGCCAGGAAATTACCGCTCCCACCGAACTGCCTACAGATCTCGCGGTGCTTATCACAATATTTGCGATATTTCCGCTCCATCTTCTAGAAAATAGCCTTACGCCTCTCCTCTCGCCGGGCGCTCTCGATCTCCAAAATCACGGTCTGAAAGAAAGACAAAATGAGGAGTAAGAACAAAACGTTGAGCTCGACATGAAAAACAGAGAGAAATTGAAAAGCTTACCCTAAGAGCGGGGCTGGCTATGCTCCTTGATAAAGTGGCATCCTTAAGCTTCTCAAGGGTTTTACCCTCCACTTCGGAATAGAGGGGACTAAGAGAAGGGACCACGTCCTCTGTGTCAACCAGCAAATCCTGCTCCAAGGGGATCGCAATAGTCTGCGTGGTCCCTTCCAAAATAACCTCAAGTCGGGTAAGCCCTTCCCCCATCATCCTCACTCCCTCGACATCCATATCAGAGCTCGTCTCGTAACCTTCTTCGGCTATGCTTTTTCCTCTTGTGTCAACCCAGGAAGAAGGGTCCTCGGCTGGTAGCGAGGTCGATGTCTCATTTCGCTGTAAGTCATCAGGGACTCTCGCCGACAACCCTTCAAAATCCGTCATGGTCTTAGGGTGAGACATACCCTCCTCGTCTCCCGACGATGGTGAATTCACGGACAGTAATTCGGCGTCACCTCCGAGTTCTATGGTCACCATTTCTCGCACGACGAAATCCCCCATCGCCGAACTCACTGCCCGAACAACCCCTTCGCTAACGTCCACAGATTGCCTCTTACGGGGAAGCAAGTTATCACCATTCGACGATAATTCCTCCTCATCGTCCTCGTCTATTAGATAATGCAAAAGGGAAGTCGAAAGCCCTGCTGCAGGAATAGACGACGACCGAGCAGACCTCATCACAGCATAAGGAACAGAAGCAGCCTTCCTCTTACGAAACGCCAGAGCAGGAGCCTTCTGCCTTCTCGAAGGTCCTCGGGCTGAAAAAGAAAAATCAGAAAATTGTCACTTCCTGTACAAAAATGCAACGAGCAGGAAATCATGAGGTCAAAACGGCATAGACAAAAGGTAATAATTATATATGCATAAATAAATACATATAGACGAACTCATCGGTCACGAAAGGCACAAGCCCGAATTTCTTGATAAAAGCCGGCCTTTCACGGATATCCACTCT